CGAAGCTTGGCGCCAAAATTCTGTACAGTTAAGGATTCTGCATTTCTATCTAGCCGTGGCCCAATGGGTGGATCCCCTAGGGGACCCACTCTGCAGGGGGTACACCCCTGCAAGAGCCAGCGCGCGCAGCGCGTGGCTGCCACCGTAACACGTTTATCACCGTAATGCGTTTATCACCGTAACGCGTTATTTGAAGCAGAGTTTCGACTTTCGAAGAGGATAGAGAGTTCAAAATTCGCTAAATTAGGATATTGATCCTCTATATCTTCTAGAGGACTATTTATGACAGTTCACTCTAAATTTGCGATACGCTGATGCGCATCTTCTAGCTCTTTTTATAGGATTTGCTCTTACTTTTGAGCTCTCATCTCTTGTGTACCCCCCTCCTCTTCACACTATTTGGTCATATATCAAGCTTGTTCTGCATAAAGAGTTCCCCTAGTTTGTAGCTAACGTTGCCCTCTACATCTTCGTTCACTTTACTCTTTTTTAGTTGCTATTAATTCTTCTAAATTCTTCTGAAGTTGTATAATAGTTTTAGCCTGAATCAGAGCCCCCTTAATAAACTTCTCTTGTAAAACTATTTAATGACTTAGAGTTACGTTTTGCAAGTAAGTAGCATGCTTCTTAAGAGATTAAGCTATTAACGATGTAATAGAAGGCTAAATTTAAGCTTTAAGGGATATAGAAGATTAATTTTAAAGAGGAGGAGAAGCAATTTAGTAATCTTGAATTTTGTTAAGTATTATATTTAAATAAAGAACAAGTCTATATTCTCAAAATCTATTAAGGATAAAGTTCCTTTTAAACGTTATTTAGCAAATACTTTAAATAGTAGTAAGAAATTCAAGCTTATTAAATTTATTATATCCTTTTCAAGTTACTTAATTTATAACTTAAGCATATTAGTATTTATAAAGCTAAAATAGAATAACATTAAATAATTAAAGAATATAAGAAGTATAAAGAAAAAGAGCAAAGATATAAATTAAGTTAGATTTATAGAATTTAAGAATCTTATATATAAAATAACTCTTATATCTATTATAAAGAAGGATATAGTAAGCTTTTATATTTATTTATTTGATTCTTATACTAATATAATCCTGGCCTAGGGCTGGTCTATGTAAGGGGATATATATAATTAAGAGTAGTTATAGCTCTTAATAACAAATAAGAACAAATGCAAGGAAACCTTTCTAGAGAAAAAACTTACTGCTAGTGAGTAGACGAGTTCTTCAGGGCGCTTCAACGGTATTGTTAGGGCTTAACTGGTTAAGACAAGTCTTAACTAGAAGCTAGGTCCAAAGGGTTGGTTAGGTAGAACAGGAAGTGTAGTGACTAATACTAGGATGTCTTCAACTTAGGTATAAGCTGATAACATGAGTTGACTACAAAGACTATGAAACTACCTGGGAAATGAGCGTGCTTATATAGACTAGGAGATTCGTGCTTACAAGTGCTTACAACGGAACACCTTATAGCATTGCTTATGCAGAGACGTCCTTAAGCGCTACTTATACAGAGACGTCCTTAAGCGCTGCTTATGCAGAGACGTCCTTAAGTATTGTTCCTAAGTGCTCATGCTTGAGCACCTCTGAACACTACATTAAAGGGTACTAACCTTGTAGGCAGTTCAGAGTCCTTTAGGCTTATTCAAGCCTATTATAGCTTTATTATAGAGCGCTAAATAATCTCTTAGTATCTATCTATGCTTAGCGTATTTATATATTATAATATTATCCCCTCCTCTTACTAGCTTAATCTTATAAGCTAAAAGAATATCTTATAATTTCTAAGATTCTTTTAATTCTTTCTTTT